GGTCGAGTAGGTGGAACATATAGGAATATGATATTTTGAAAAACGGGGTGGGGGAAAATATATGTCGATGAAGAGGTAAACAATTCAGGTGGGCATATATTAGGTATAGCACCCGAGCACCTTGCTCCTTGATCCTGCTCCTGCTCCTGCTCCTGCTCCTGCTCCTGGTATTGAACTTCCCATTCCTTACTACTTACAGTTACTTATCAAATTCGAGCACTCGGCCCAACAGTACTTTATTTAAAATATTTTTCGAAATTTAAGCAGTTAATTCTCTGTGCCTTTTTTATTGATTGATTTTTGTTAGATTCCGGTTAGGTTATGGAAATGTAGAAAAATACACTACTATTATAATAAGTGAATACTTCATTAATACTGCACCGGTGAGGATCCTTTTTCGTTCTAAATTAATGATTGTATATCCTAAACCTTCCCGGATATCCACCTGAAAAAGCGACTTACCCGTGAGAGTCACACATTTTTGAAATGTATACCCCCCTCCCTAGAGTTGCCCTTAGTTATAGGAGAAGAAAAAAATGTTTGATTTTATTTATGTCCCACTTCCTTATTTTGTTTAATACCATAAGAAATTAATTTGTTTGAATTTAATTATGATTACTCATCCCCTTCCCGTGGCCCAAGAGGGNAATGTTAATTTAATCAAAAAATGAATATCAAAACATAAAACTGTGTATTTTGAAAAAAAAAAAATACTAATCCCTACACAAAAAACGGCTCTACTTTAGAAGACGACAAAAACTTACTTAATATAAAACAACAACTTCCTCCGATAACTGGTCCTGACGGATCCTTGGCTATTTCTGATAGAGAAAAAGCAAACCTTTTCGGAGAACATTTTCTAACATTTTCAAACCACATACCAATATACACTTCAACACTGAATACCTAAAAACAATTAATTTATCAACAGTCCTCTTCAAATGTCATTCCCTGCAAAACATACCTCACCAAGCGAAGTTAAATTTTTAATAAATAAATTAAAAGAAAAAAATCACCTGGATATGACCTTTNTACTAACAAAATTCTAAAAAATCCTAACCAAAAAATCAATTGTTTTTATAACTTATATCTTTAACACGTTCAATGCTGATGATAACATGTTGTTGTCATTGTAGGTAGCGCGCCCGTCGCCGATGAAAACAAGGTGTTGTCATTTTCAACACAGTTTTATTTACATCGGCCCCGTGCAAACTTTCCTAATTTTACGTGGTCTAATTGGTGAACACTTAAGCTACATTTCTATATACTTGGATTATAAATTATTGGTTTTTTTTTTTTTGCAATTACAATTAAATAAAAAAAAGTAAATTTGTATGTATATTATATTTATTTTATGTAAATAAATAATAATATAACATTATTATTTAGTATTTTTTGTTAAATGTTTATAATAATTAAAATAAAGACTAACGTTTAAAAATTATTTTTTACTTAATTATTTAATTCGAATATTTAAAAATTTGTATTTCTAATAAAAATAAACCTTCCACCTTGCCCGTCGCGTAATATAAGAAATGTCAATAAAGTTATGACTAATGAAGAGTACAAAATGATAATAATGCAGTAAATAGAAATCGACCTGTGGATAGGCAATTTTCAGATTATACGTGAGTTAATGAACCACTGCAGCATGTCAACAAAGTTTTGTTTTCTAAAACTGCAGGTTTAAAAACATTACCAATAGGACATAAACCTATGGATTATTTTAGTATGCTGTTTACTAATGATTTTATTGAATTTATTGTGCAAGGAAGAAAATTATACGCAGTAGAGATTTTTATATCTACTTCGAGTTGATCAAGTCGGATTTCTCAATAGAAAGATACAACTATAGATGAAATTAAAATATTTTTGGTGTTACTTTTTCATATCGGAACCATACGAACAAACCGTTTAGAAGATTATTGGAAAAAAGTAAAATGTTCAACTTAAATTTTTTTCGCTTACACATGAGAAGGAATCGATTCATGTTAATTTTGAGAGCTCTACACTTTCTCATTCTTGGTCCAGTAATCGATTAAATAAAATAGAAAATATTGTTAATTATTTCAATAAGAAAATAGAAGGAAAGTACGAGCCAAGTAAAAATGTATCGTTGGATGAATCCATCGATGGTCCTTTTTCGTGGCAGACTTGTTTTTCGTAAATTTATAAAAAACAAACGGCATACATATGGAGTTAAACTGTACATGCTAATAGAAACAAGTGAATTTGTATACCGAGTAATGATATATTCAGGGTCTTTGCTTATCTAAGCAAAGACACTTATTGTACAGACTTTGAGATAAAACAGGAAATATTAACAGGAAATCCTAAGGATGTAATTTCGATGAAATTTAAAGTAGAAGGAAATGTTGGTATTTATTTATTTTGCATATGACATATCGGCCTATTTATAAGTTATACAATTTTAGTTAAATACAATAAATTACACAGAGATACGTTAAACTATGATAAATGAGTAAGAAATTATAGCAATAAATAGGTATTAGATAAATTTAAACTTAAAATTACAATAATATTAAATTTTTGAAATGTGACAAAACTATCTTCAATTTATCCTAAATTTAAAGGTAACTGGACCAAGAACTTTGTTTCTTATTAGAGTGGTATCTCTAGATTTCCTCTGAATTAGCTTCATGTAATTTTGCTATTCCTCCTTCAAATTTAGTAATTGGACATTCTTCCACAATATGCTTGATAGTTTGTTCGGTTCCACAAGAGCATAGAGGAGACTGTTCCATTCCTCATTTATGTAGTAAACTTTTGCTTCTGCCTTGCTCAGTTCTTATTCTATTCAAGGTTGACCATAGCTTCCGTGGAAGATCAAAACCCGGGGTTCTTGTTTCTGGATTTTCAATCAAGGTNACTCCTCGCACACCTGAGTCTTTCCATCGTGTTTTCCATGTTATCGATAGAGCTTCTACAGGAAATGTAAGGTTCCATATTGGGTGTCTCGATTTAAGCGTTTTATGAGGGTGCGTAGTAAACTCCTGAACCAAACTGGAGCACAGTATTTAGCTACGCTGTATACCAGGGCTAATGCTGATACACGTAGAACTGTTGCGTCGCTTACCCAGGTCGATCCTGCTAGTTTTGAAATAATATTATTCCTCTTTTTTAGATTTTTTTTAACCCTTCTAGGTGTTTTTTAAATGTCAAGGCTCTATCGATTTTTATTCCGAGATATGTAGGGCATTCTTCGTTTGGTATGTCGATGTCATTCATTTGTATTTCTAACTGCCTATTTGCTTCCCTATTATTTAAGTGGAAGGCCAGTGCCTTTGTTTTGTTTTGTAGTGAATTTTTACACCGAGTAATGATATATTCAGGGCGAGCACGTGATATATGATATTTCTTTGGATTACTGTCATTCCGAGTACGTGGTCGAAAAACTAATGGAAAGACTTTTTTATAGTGGCCGTTCACTTCATATGGATAATTATTATAATAGTGTTAAATTAGCCCATAATCTAAGCAAAGACATTTTTTGTACAGACTTTGAGATAAAACAGGAAATTCTAAGGATGTAATTTCTATGAAATTTAAAGTAGGAGTTGAGAATTTGAGAATGAGATGGTCGAAGCAACAAATAGGAAAGGACAAACAATGAAATTCTTCGAGAGGTGCGTGCATTAGGAATCTAGTATTTATCATAGTAATCAACGATCTTATTTTTGCATATTTATCAGAATTATCCAAGTTGTTGTTATTTGAAAAGTGAAGATTATGAAATATATCGTTCAATCTATTTCGCCTCATAGCATTGTATACTAAACCATTATTTGTATCAGGGGCCTTTTTTCCAGTACATACGTCGCCGAGACATTTCATTATACCCAGATAATAAGAGAATTGCAATAAAACACTTTAATTCATTTTCTGTCAAGTCTAAGGAAATATTTTTAGAAGAAGCATAAATATTTGTATATTGTACAATAGAATCAAAAACTTGACCATCGAAAAATAATTCAAAAAATTCTAACGGCGCTAGTGAGCCATATTTTATTTTACTGTTGTCATCTGGACTCCAAAGCTTTGTTATTTTAGGAGTCTCTAAATCTCCTTCACGTCAAATTTGAAATAAATCTTTTTGAATTTTTTTGTTGCCTATTACAACGCAGTTTTTTTTGTAGTCACAACTTTTTTTTTTTTTAATTTGTGATTGTCTGTGATGAAAATTTCTTTCGGTAAAATAACATTGGCTTTCAAGTAAATGGCTTATATTTCCCGTATGTTCGTCGTTATCGGAGTCTTCATTAGTAATGTTTTCATCCGGAGGTTCTAAGAAAATGGTGTCTTCAATCAGCTCATTAGACTCCAGCAAATTTATAATATCATTCATGCAAAGAGATCTAAAAAAAATATACATATAAGGCTACAGAAAATCCCAGTGACCTACATGTAAGACACTGATATTTAAACGCAAATAAATGAAAATGTATGTGGAATAAATATATTTAATTTATAAAAATATAAAATATAAACAGTAATATATATGATACTATGTGTTTTATGTATAAAAAAAAAATCTAAAATATAGTTCACTTACTTTGATGATGAAGCCATTTTTCCATTCGAACAAGCCGGTGTACAAAATGTTACTAACACGTAATAACGTTCGACTATACAACGTAAAATAATATCATCGGGTCAATTATTATATTATTCAACAGTCTAATTCAATTAAATGGGGATAATTCTAAAAATAATACTGATAACAATAATTATTTCGGGTGTCCTACATATAGGCCACTGGGTTTATATGGGTTAAAAAAAAAAGAAAAAAACTGATTTGGTGGTAAACAATACTTATAATATCAATAGTTCTGATAATCTCCATAAAAGAGTAGGTGAAATTTATGTTTGTTTTCGTAGATACCTACTGAAATCTCTAATAGTTATATAAAAAATAAGACTGCAATTGGTTTTCGACAGAATCGGACGACAACGACGACGAAGGCAGCGGCGGCCGCTGGATGCCGACCATCGTGGAATATGGTGATAAGGCGGCCGAATACGCGTCCTATCTATTGAACCACGGTCAATGTACCGCTGAGGCCGCGGTTGACTTCAAGTTACGGACTGAACGTTTGGTCACGTCATTCGTTTCGTCCTACTGGCGGAACGTGGCATGCCGGTCGACGACCACCGATCGCGCGTTGTCCGATTGTCTGGTCGCCAATCTCCAGTTCACCGCCAATTCGACCAAACTCGGAGACTTGTCGGTCGGACAATTTGCTATGTGTCTGAATGCAAAGTTCATCGCCAGTCGACGCTGGGACCAGCTTTCTGCTCCAGGACGGGACGTCCCTAGAGTCCGACTATTCCGGCCGGAAATCCGAGAACCGTGCGAACGGTTTACCGGCGTCCAACATCTACTGGATCTGACGGCTACTGGCGACGACGATGTCGATGACCGGGTGTTTGGCAGCAGCCATGTGGAGCACATGGAACCATACGTGATGACCCAAAGAGTGGTGGAGTACGCTTCTAGATACTGCCGCCATCAAGTCCGGTATTTCGCACTCACTGACACGCTGGTGTTCAAGTTCACGGACGGCGCACCCGGCGATTTGATTGAGAAACATTACAACCACCGGTTCGCTGGACCTAAAGACTTTAGGGATTTTCATTTTGAACTGTTCAATACCGCAGAATTTTTCAGGTCAGTTGATGTATATAAAGTATGTAATATAGACCCCTATGAATAGTATATCATATTGTGCCAAGAACAATGACGATAGGTTGCTTTTTAAAACAATCGAATAGTGTTTTCGAAATATATTTATTATATGTACACGACCACGACGATTATCAGGGGGCCGGACTTATATAACTTCTGAGGATTTCTACCGGTATCGCGGTAAGATTGGTGAGGTCATTCGTGGACACGGCCCGATAATATTATGTTTTCGTCTGAACAGACACGATGATAACGATGGCGATTCAAACCACCCGCGTTTACCCGCGGACGATTATCCCAACGCTTTTGTGTACCGGGAATTTGGTTACTCGGACATGGACAACAATATAATGAACTACGTGTCAGTCAACGGTGAGACCACGGTTTGTGTAGAATCGTACAGGCTAAACGGGACTTCGCAGATCAGCGGTGACAATTGCGATCTAAAGTACGAGCAAAGAAATCGAGTGAAAGTGAAGTTCGGTAAGTTTTGGTTAGCCGTCCACGGTATTGGGACGTCGGCTGTTGAACTGACTGTAGGCTTACATGACGGTGCCATGATCACGGTTACTACGAGCAAATATGGTGACCGTGTTTTCCACGACGAAGGGTTCGACGTGGTCTACCGGCGGACGGACAGCGGTTTTCAGGTCTACGAAGGTGACGTTCAGTACACGTGGCCCGACGGCCGACCACTGTTAGTGTGCGATTACCCTATCGTGGAGGTCGAGGCAGCTGACGGCACAAAAACCATCGTGGATTTCGTTAATTCGGTGTGCCGGGTTCACGTGTCGGACGGCGCCAAGTTACGGGTGCGGTTCTGTACGGCTAGTGGCGTGGAGTTCTGTCATCCGGGTGCAGCCATAACCAACATCGGAGACGGCGGACCTTCCTCGGCCGGACGCCAACACTGTAAATACCTGGTGTGTCGTCGAGACATGTCCGGCTACGAGTTCGTCGAAAGCGACCAGTCGTCCGCGTGGCCGCCACATGCCGCCTCTGTCATCAGGACGTTGACCCGCAGCTGTTTCGATGGCCAGACTTCGAGGCTGGTGAACGAGCTATTGATTGATTATCTAAAGACTGACGAAATGTTGGCTTATCAGCTGAACGCCGAATTCTCCGAGGACTCCGAATCCGGTCTAGAAAAGTCGTCGCAGATCGACGAAGAAGAATGCTGGGGCGGTAGTGGCGTATTCGATTTTTAGAGCTTAATATTGTTTGATTTTCCAATAAAAAAGAATCGCTTGGCGTTGACGGGGTGGTTTTTTCTGTAATATTATTAATTTACAGCCGTAAGACAGCAGACGTGGCCGATTTTTGCTGCATCAGTGTCAATTGGTGCAGGCGATTGGCAGCTTCCCCATCCCGTTTACCGTGACCTTCGCTTGAAAAAAAAGGAAAAGATTTTCAAGTATATTTTAAAAATTTGTTCAGTTTTGTAATAAAATTTACCTCCCATACATGCATGTCCATACTCGATGCATGAGTTCCATTGATTGACTTTCTTACTGAAATTATAACATGTACACAAAGATTAAGATAAGAGCTATGAAAACATTTACAAATGTTCCTGATTAGAATTAAGCAATGGCATAAAAAGTTAGCTGACTAAATCTTCTAATAAGATTATTAAAAAAATGAAAAGCCAATTCTGCATAAAATAATTACAATTTTTTGAAATTTTGACTTGATCATATGTATTTTGTATTTTTTTTTTAATACTTACAATACACAGATAACCTTAAGTTAAGAGTAAATATTAAAAAACAAAAAACTTTAAAAATATATATTTGTAAATATAAATGAAGGTCAATTCCTGATCCTCATTTATATGACTAAATAAAAAGTGACCGGAAATTATTATATATGAATATAGAAATTCCCATCACTTTTGTAAGCAAAGATATTTCGATGAAAAAGAATTGCTATTATATGAATTTGTGTATTTACCTACTATTATGTATACATTAAACTTATATATTCGAAGAATACTACTACCATTTTAAAGTATTATATCCATATTCAATTATTGGTCTAAATTATAAAATAAGTTAACGGATGAAAATAAAATTTAATTAACATTAACATAAAATAAATTAAAGTTTTCGTGCAATAAAACAGGTATATGCATCTAAAATTCTAATTTCTAGTAGTATATTGCAGGGCGACTTGTACCATAATATCTATGTATGAGTAGTATATAAAATGCAATGAATTCTTTGCAGTATTCTTCAATTCAAAATCGATGAAAATAAGATGTCATGATTTATTCTTGTACAGCTTCCATCATTAGGAATACTGTACCATTGAAATCATAGTATTCTGCACTCAATGTATAACTCTAAAGAATTTAAAAAATTATTTTCATGGTACTATAGAATGTATTTAGATATCATATTATATGTTATAATAATATACTTGGTTCCATATTTCAGTTGTGTTGCTAAAATGGTCCAGCTTTTGCTGAAACCATTGGTCGAACCAATAATTAGCTAAATTAGGTGGTGTTGAATGCAAATACGCTGCTGAGAAATTCCAGCAAACAAAACAAATGAAAGATCAAAGTGTTCATTTCCGAATCTAAAAAAAGGAATTACAAAATTTATATGATCCAGGTGGTTAATAGTAAATCTACAAAAAAAAACAACACATATTTTGCACGTGGGTGGGCCACTTTAAGTGAGAAATTAGGAAAGTAGAGGGGAATTTTAATATATATCTGTACCTAACGATTAACTATTACCAGTGAAAAACGATTCTGAGGAGAGTTCGGTTAATAGTGTTGCTTTGTCAAGGCTATATATCATAGACAACAGTATTTAAGCCGACAAATAAATAATCCGATCCACATTTTATCGTATTTTATCTGAACCTTATTTTAATCGACAAATCTCCCTTTACTATGACCAACGCTACAACATTACAAACAGTGTCGGTAATATTGAGGACTTCAGATAGGTTATAGCAGAGAGTCCTAATGATGAATGCGTGCATCGACTGTGAATCGCGTTTTATATCCTGACATTGTGATATATCTGATGATGAATTTTTCCATTATCCGAGATATAAAGTTTTTGTTTTTTCTGTTTTAATAAAGTGAAAAAAAATACATATTAAAAGAATGTATGTATTTACATTTTTTTCATATTAATTATTTTTGCATATTTTTCAATTTTTTTACAGAATATAGAAAAATGTATTTTGCAGATTTATTTAAAAAAATAAAAGCATCATATTTTAGGTGCTTTAAGAGAATATAAATCCGGATTATAATGATAACATTCGTTAAAAACATTGAAGCTCGCAATTTATTACACAATATTGTGTAGACACAAACTATTTTCACACAATTGTAAATTTAAATTTATCAAAAGATGTTTAACTAACTTTGCTCAGAATAATTTTTTATTTTCAATGATTTATTGTTGCATATAGATATTTAATAGGTTATTGTTTATATCCAGCTATCTTCCCAAAGATCTTTCTATATATTTAAATTTATATCTACCATATTTACCTAAATTAAATATAATATTATTTATTAACCTATAATTATTGTAATAAAAATATAATACATCATTTTTATAACATGCCTTACACATATTCGTATTTAATTTCATATTATTTTTAAAATTACTATACATATAAATTAAACTTTTTTTTTTTTTTTTTAACATTTACAATCTATGCAATTTTTGTACAATAAGAAATTCGCTATACAACATAACAGTACATAACAAACATGATCACATGATAAGGGAAGCCATCCAATTATAGGACTCTTTTATTTAATTTGGGTTAAGTGACTAGATCAGGAGATCACGGCACCAGCGTTTCTTGAGACGACGTGGAGGGTCGTCCAGAAGCTTAAATGAGTACTGGTTTGAAACAAGTGGGTTGGTATGGAGAGATAATCTGGAGTGGAATTCTTTATAGTGTGCTATGGTTAGGTTTTCGGTTTATGGACTCATCTCCGTCGCCGTTTCCCCGTCGGACGTTTCTCCGTCCAATAAATAATTATTATATAAGGTTAGTGCCCTCACACTTATTTCCAGGCTTGAGATTGTCAACTATTAGTTGGTGGTTTACACACTTTTTGTTATTTATTAACTTAAGTTTTTTTCTTTATACTACAACTTTTTTTTTTATTCTTAAACTTTTGGAGATGGAGATGGGGCGATATATATTTTTATTTTTGCATCTCTAAATTATTTGCCGATCCAATTAGGTATTCGTGTTTATCACTATCATTATAACCAGCTAAAATATTTTGTAGACGAGAAGCTATTATTCTATATTTTTTTCTTTTGGTCGGTGATTCTTGACTAGCCATTAACTGATGTAATTCAATTTCAGTTAATCCTTGTTCTCTTTTAAGGACATCAATTAATAGCCATATAGTTGGGTGAGATGAGACTAACATTGATGAAAAAGCTTTATGCCAACCTTCGACGGAGTTATTAGTTTAGGTAACCCTTCTAGTGTCGCGTCATATTGGTTCCGTAACTCTATACTAAACGTTGGTGGCCTTCTGATTCCTCGCCATGTTGGTCTACCGATCCATGTATCTTCGAAATAATCTATTAATGGACGCAATATTTCTTCGTGTTCTACAAAAAAGTTTTGTGACATTAGTTCATCAAATGTATTTTCGACATCATGTACCGGAATAAAAGCTAAAGCCATTAATTGTTTTATATTCAAAGCAAAATCTGCATTTAAAATATATTTTTCACGAATATCTGCAATAGTTTGTATTTTTCGCTATATACACTGCCCAAAATGAAAAAAAACAGCCTCTAATTTTGACGT